AAGTTATAATAATGGGATAATAATGTTTTTATTTGCAAAATAGTTTAATCATTAATTATACTATAAAAATTATAGTACAATTAACGATTAAACTATTTTGCAAATAAAAACATTATTATCCCATTATTATAACTTTACTTGGGAAATGAGGCACTAAAACCTATCTGCAGCCCGAAGAAGTTTAGCCGATTTAATTTCAGCCCTTACATACTGCCACGTTGTGCAGGTCTATCCTAGGAGGTGGCATGTAGCTGGGTTAATGGTGGTTAATGCCTCTTTTTGGGAAGGGGTGGTACCACCTGCTTTGAAGAGGCCACCCTTGGACCCTGCAATATTAAACAGCTCTCATCCAGTCTAGAGGGTTGGTTGGCACATAGCTTCAGAGTGCCCTGGATGAAGTGGATTATCTGAATCCTTTTTAGTCTGAGTTCAGGCCAGGGTACAGCACTGAGACAGCATTGGTCACCCTTTGGAGGGCTTGGGACAGGGGTGTTACAACTGTCCTGGCTCTTTTAGCATCTTTTGATACCATTGACCATGGTATCCTTCTGGACTAGCTCTGGGGGTTGGGAGTGGGAGGCACCGTTTTGCAATGGTTCTCCTCCTTTCTCCATAGCCAGTTTCAGTTGGTGTTGGCAGGTGAGGAGAGGTCGAGCCTTAGGGGCCTGCAGAGTGGGGTGCCCAGGGATCAGGTATCTCCCCTTTCCCCTTTAACATAAAACCGCTGGCTGAGGTCATGTGATGGCACAGTTTACAGTATCATCACTACGCTGATTATATCCAGCTATATATTTCTACCCCTGGCTGGCCAGGTGATGCTGTTGTAATGTTGTCCAAGTGCCCAGAGGGTGTAAGGGTCTGGATGGGGAGGAACCAACTTTGGCTCAACTCTGGCAAGATGGAGTGGCTCTGGGTTTTGGTCCCCCAGGGTCTGGTGACTTGTCATCTTTGACTCTGAATGGGGTTGCATTCCCCCAGAGTGAGCTGGTGTGCAATTTGGAGGTCATCCTGAACTCATGGCTCCCACTTGATGAGCAGTGGGCAGCTGTGGCTGGGGGGCCTTTGCACAGATCTGTCTTGTGCACCAATTGCACCCTTTTCTGGACTGGGAGGCCTTGCTCACGGTACCTCACACCTTATCACTTCCCAGTTGGATTACATCAATGTACTTTACATGGAGCTACCCCTTGAAGGCCACTGATAAGTTAGAACTGGTCCAGAATGTAGCAGCACACATAGTATTGGGTGTTCATAGGTTTGCCCACATTACACCTCTATTGTGTGAGCTGCACTGGCTCCCAGTTTCCTTCTGGCTGCAAGTCAAGATGCTGATTATCACCTTTAAAGCCCTATATGGCACAGGACCTGGTTATTTGTGGAATCGCCTCTCCCTAAGTATATCTGCCTGTCCCAATAATTGTATAAGATAGGCACACTCCAGATCCCTTCCCTGAAATCCTGCCACCTAGTGGGACCTTGGAAGCATGCCTTTTCTGTGGCTGCCCCTACCTTATGGAACACTTCCCCTCCACCAGACATTTTGGCAGGCCACCACTCTTTTAGCCTTTCAGAAGGCCATCAAGACCTGTCCTTTTACCAAGGCACTGGCATAGGATAGAATGGAATAGAAAGAATAAAATGAGGGTAATTGGAGCTTGTAAGGACAGGGTTTTTGTTTTGTCTAATTGTTTTACTCTTTTATTTACTTATGTTCATGTTTTATAGTTACTGGTTTTACTGCTGTTGTGAGCCACCCAGAGTTGTTTAAAATGGGTGACCATACGTATCTTTTAAATGAATAAAATAAATATTTTTATTATGGTCACTGACCAAAATTGGAAACAAAAACACATTAAAAATAAAAAAAATTAATAAAGTAAAAACAAAACAAGACAAAAGATTACAATTGGTGGTAAGTTCATCAGTGGATAATCAAAGCCTTTCCAATTTTACAGTAGTAACAAAATTGACTGAATCTTATTTATCTGATAACAACTGTACATAAAAAATCAGAATTTCCCAGATGTTTTACCAGGTAAAGAGTTATAAGGTGGGTCCTTGAGTCCTTATAAGGACTACACTATAGCAGGACACGAGCTGTAGTTTCAACAGCCCCTTATCCACAGGGGCACAGTTTCAGCTCACAGGGGACTTTCTTGTATCAACCCACTAAAACTGCTGTGGGGAGAGCATTGAAGCATGAAGAAGTTAGTGCTCTTCAGAATTTGGAAACAGTTATGTGGTATAAGTATCTAGTTGGTTTCTAAAAAGGGGCTTGATTGCTCAGAAAAATGTTCTTAGGTAGATCAAACTAGTCCTGTTGGGCTTCCAGGCCTTTGATACGTTATTTAAATGAGCTGAGTGCCCACTCATAACTCATCATTAGGAACTCCTCCCTGGAAAAGTTTTTGTGAGATTATCCTGAACCATATTGATTTGTAATTGTCCTCAATAAAGAAAGAACTCAAACCTGTGGGAAAGAACAGTAACTTCAACCAAAATGCTATGATACAGGTCCTGCCCCACTCCTTAATACTACATTTGGAATGCAAGGGGCTACCTGGAATATAACCCTTAGGAATTTATATTGGAACCTTTTGAGAGGAGTAAAGGAAGTGTAAAGTCCTAACTGGGCACTGAAAATTAGTTGTGCACGAGCCTTAGCTGAATATGGCTTCAGTGCTGCTGGGATATGCTGTGCTCCTCTAATGAAGGAAAAAGATTGGATTATGGCCACTGTTTTTTGTTACATTCTCTGTAACAAAATTTTGGTGTGCACTGTGTTCGGCGGAACTGTGGAAAACCATGCCCAAATATTTAAAAGATTTCACTAGTTTAAGGGTCGCAACAATATCTTCCGAAATAATATTGCTGTATATTTTTGTCATTCTTGTATACCTGTATTAATTACTATCATGTTCTTCCCTTGAGCTTCATCACTACCTGAGAAAAGTCTCATTTAACAACACTGCTGGAGAAAATATTTTCTTTGACCAGAATGGGAAGGTTGCAACTGGCTTTGATATTATCAACTGGGTCACCTTCCCAAACCAATCCTTTCTTAGGGTCAAAGTTGGAAAAGTAAATCCATCAGCTCAACTAGAAAAGCTTCTCCCTCTAGCAGAAGATAACATTGTCTGGCCCAACCTTTTCAACCAGGTATTTTTTATTCATTTTTCAAGGAGTGGTTCACTGCTCATCCTGCAACTGATCTCCAAATAGCTTGCTTCAACAGCTGCACAACAGCTGCTGATCAGTTTTGAAACTAAAATGAGAGAAAAGTACATGAAAAGCTTAGATAGATTTCAGTTCTATTTTAAAAACTGTTTTTGTACCCCAAGCCAGAACACACTTAAGACTTCAGTGCAATCTAGAACTTTGGGAATATTTCTCACAAAATCCATCAAAGAATGCAGCAATATTCTTGATGCACAGGACTTTGAAGAGGATTTTGCATAAGAAATAGTAACTCAACATACTCCTATCTCTGAGCTAATTAGCCCTAATCTTTGAGATCTATCAGATGAATGAGAGATTTTTTCCATTTACATGACTTATTATGCCAGAAGGATATTTTAAGGGATAAGACAAGTCTTGCACACTAGTATAGAATGTTTCACAACTGTAACCTAAGCAGAAAAAAAGAAAAGATTCCTCAAAGATTATAATTTCTAGATTGCTAATGTTTAAATTCAAAATGCATTGCACTTTCATTTATTAACAGACACAACCTCTTTCTTTATGCAATGACCATTGCTCCTTGGGTTATAGCAAGATCAAAATAGAAGGGAAGCCATTTTGCTGTTACAAATGCCTTCGTTGCCCAGAAGGGAAAATTGCCAACCAGACAGGTAAGAGATGGTCTGCAAGAATTGTTGATATCTATTAGCTCTGAAGGTCAATAGGTTTAAAGCACTATCCAGGCTTCTGACATTGCAGCATTTACCCTACAGACCCTGAGGACGGTTACCAAGACAACCATAGAATTGTCCCAAGTCAACATGGTCCCAACTCACAAAAGGGGCAACGGCACCTGAACTAGTTTTTACCTGAGAATGACTAAAATGGCATCTGAGGTCTTCCAGCCTTTGGGTTAGAGTGGCTGGAGTATGGGAGTATGATATGTTTGTTGTGGTTGACCAGATCCACCATCTTGTTAGTCTTATATACTCCCTTTTTAACATTTTATATTTATTGTTTTATTTTCATGTTTTGAGCCACCCAGGGTCAAATGGAATCAGGTGATGACTAAGTAGAATAAAATAAATAAAAAATAAGTCAAGGACATTAAACATCATTGGCACAGTCAGATTCCTTTCTAGTCACCATAAGTTTCACTGCCACTGCTATTAAGAGGGAAGATGGACATAAAAAAATGTCCACCCCAGGCATTTATGGATACCAATGAGCTGATTCCTAGCAACATGGAAGTATTCTTTGTGCTTAAGCCTTCCATCTAAGGAAGTCCATACCAGCTCTGGACTGGGTGACATTGTCTGGGAAAATGCAGGTGATTCAGCCCTTGTCAACTCCCGGTTAGCCTAATGTAATGTATTTCAATAGAGGAGAACATATATAGCTCAGGGTTAAACTGTGGAGTTCTCGGTGCTCTCTGAGCTTGGTTGTTTGCTTGCAGATGGTTCATTACCTGACTAGGTAACATCATCAGTGCCAGTGAGTGGGGGGTTTTCTCCCTATTTATATACCGTTGCTTGCCTTGCCAGTTTTGGTGGGGGTGTGGTTTTCTCCTTGGTAGTTTCTTGATTAGGTATTGTTTTCTGGTTGATTGTTTGATAGACACATAGAGATAAACCACATTTACACACTATTCAAAAAAGACAATAAAAAAGCTAACAAGGAAATAAAAAGACCAGAACACATCCTCTCCAGCAGCCTACACCCAGATAAGCAGGGATTAACACTAGACAAACAATCAAGCAGAAAATAATACCCTAATCAAGGCACTACCAAGGAGAAATCCACACCCCCAACAACACAGAAAGGGCAAGCTACAATATATAAACAGGTAGCAAACCCCACACTCACTCTCACTGATGATGTTACCTAATGAAACACATGCAAGCAAACAACCAAGCTCAGAGAGCACCAATGGCTCCACAGTGTAATTTTTTAAACCAGTGGCTGCCTTTGAAGATAACTCAGAAGCTCCAGCAGGCATAAAAATGAAGCTCCCCACTTACTGATTTGAGAAGGCAGGATAGCAGAGTGACACGTATGCTGAAGCACCTAGAATGGTTGCTGGTTGGCTTTCAGTTCCAGGTGCTGGTTATCACCTACAAAGCCCCTTATAGCTCAGGTTCTTGCTACCTTTAGGTCTATCTACCCCTGACAAATTGTCCAATATCTGCAAATTGAACAAGGAAGCAGTGAGTTTCTGTTTACCCCAGGAAGTCAGTGGGTGGGAGCAGGACCTTCGGGAAGGAGAGCCTCCCATAAATCAGACAGCAATAGTGGGAATTACTATAAGGTGCCAGCATTATGCTGATTATGGCTTCAGGTTTAGTTTAGATGTAATTTACTGGTTATGGTTTTAAGTAACCCAGAATCAATGGAATAGAGACCTATACAAAAATAAATAAAAGCAATAATCCAATAAATATAAAAATAAGTTTATAGAATTTACCATAATAACCACTATTAATATCTTCCTGTACAGTGAGCACAGAATACAAATAACTTTTTCCAATGGAGGAGCATCTCAAGAGAAAGGGTGTTCTGTTTTTAATTCCCCCCTCCCATTTAAAAGGGAGGAGGGAGTGTGGGAGACATCCTGTTTATAATGCTCTTCAGAGACAGCATATGCATTGGTCCCAGATTTGAGCTAACTGCCTTTACTCATGCCTCTTATTTTTTTTTTTTACACATAGAAATGTACTTTAAAAAAAGAGAGATTCTTATAAAAATTGTTCACACAGTGTAATATCAAGACTTGTTTCCTCTAAAGCAATAGTATGAATTGGAGACTCAATCCAATTTCAAATGTACAGATAGAATGAAATGATATCTGACTAAGTCAAGTCACAGTAATTTCCAAGGATCTGTTCTCAGCCAAATTAGTTTTAAAACTTTCCTGGCCTACAGCCTTCCAAATAAGTTTGATTTCAAATTCCCAAATTCCCAGACTTTGTGATGAATGTCTGGAAATTCCAGGCACTGAAATACAGTATATCTGAAAGTTAGGGAAGGCTGAGCTAACACTGACTTCTTATATGCTTGACAACTCTATTTCTTCTTCCAGGTTTAGATGACTGTTTCCCATGTCCCAAAGAAAAATATTCTAACAAGAACCAGGCTTTCTGCATTAAAAAACTCACAACTTTCTTGTCTTACAAAGAACCCTTGGGAATCACTTTGACCAGTGTTGCTTTCTTCTTTTCTTTCATCTCAGCTGTGGTACTGGGGATCTTCATTAAACACCAGGACACTCCCATTGTCAAAGCCAATAACAGGAACCTCACCTACATTCTTCTCATTGCTCTCCTATTCTCTTTCCTTTGCAGTTTGCCCTTCATTGGGCAACCTAACCAAGTAAAATGTCTCATGCGACAAACTGCTTTTGGCATCATCTTCTCCATAGCCCTTTCTTGTATATTAGGGAAAACAACCATTGTTGTTCTTGCTTTCATGGCCACCAAGCCAGGCTCCAAAATGAGGAAATGGGTGGGGAAAAGGCTGGCTAATACTATTGTCCTGTTTTGCTCCCTGGTGCAAGTCACCATTTGTAGTGTGTGGTTGGCAATTTCTCCCCCATTCCTGGATTCAGACATGCACTCAATGTCTGAAGAAATTGTCCTGGAATGTAATGAAGGTTCAACCATCATGTTTTATTCTGTCCTTGGTTTTATGGGGCTCCTGACTGCTATCAGCTTCACAGTGGCTTTCCTTGCTAGGAAGCTACCTGATAGCTTTAATGAAGCCAAATTTATCACCTTCAGCATGCTGGTCTTTTGTAGTGTCTGGATGTCATTCGTTCCTATCTATCTGAGCACCAAGGGAAAATACATGGTAGCTGTGGAAATCTTCTCCATTTTGGCTTCTGCAGCAGGATTACTGAGCTGCATCTTTTCCCCCAAATGCTATATTATTGTTTTGAGGCCTGAGTTAAACAAAAAGGAGCAACTAACAAAGAAAGAAAAGTAAATTAGTTTGATGTGCCACACCTGCCTCTTCTTTATAGTGCTTATGAGACTGAAGACAGGCAGAGTACCTGCAAGTTTAGATATTTTGACTTATTAGAAAATTTGCATAAGTTTGATCTTAGAAGGATGACTTTTGCAGAAATGGAGGTTTTATTAGAAAACAGAAATATAATTTATATATTATCTATAAAGAACTTGTCCAGATAATTGATGGATAGAGGAAGAAGGGAAAAGCCAATCAGTTAATACATACATAGTATATAGTGAAATTTGTATTTTGATGGAAACGTTGAATTTTTGAAGAAGCAGAATGTCAAACGAAAGCTTTTAAAAAAAAAAAAAGAGCAAGAGAAAAAATATATTTCTCAAAGTTGATCTCTGAAAACTGTACTAAATCTGGCCACATGAAGATTTTATTGGACAGGAATGAGAAGTGACAGGGTTTGAGGATGAAAAATAGGCCTTAAAACCTTGTTTGCAAAGACAGGTTATATTTATTCCCCAAATATCTCTTACAGGTATGTAGATATTCTAGAACTGGCATCTGATACATAGTTCTATGTGCTAGATAATTTGATTATTGGATGTAAGAAGAGGAATTGGCAGTATCAGGTGAAAAAAGATCCATATGGTTTGCAGACATACTGAAGAATATAACAACTTGTGAAAAAGCCTCCCCCCACCCCCTAAATAAAAAAAGAAAAGAAAAAGGAAAGCAACACATGAAACAAATTTGGAAATGGGGACAGTTTAGATGTTTATAAAGGCCAATTGTAGAATGTTCTGTTCGAAGTATTTGTACTACTTGGTTGTTGTCACTGCAACATGTTGTCAGAACATGTTGTAGTGGTAAGAATCACTAGGATCTGATCATCTCTTGATATAAATTTAGTTGAAAAAATAAGAAAGATTCTAACTGCAAGTAGCATTAACCAAAAACCAGAGTCAAACAACTTAGACTCTTATAAAAGACAAGCCCTTCATAAAAATACTGTGGATAACAATATCCAAATGTCCAAGTATGCTTATGTCCCTTTCAAGGTTTTCTGGTGCATGTGCAAAATGTACAAAAGGAACTTTGGTGTTTCAAGTAAGTTCATATTATTATTATTAACAGAGAGACTGTTTATTTCTTAAATAGCTTGTATCTTTTAAAGTTTTCTTTAAAGTAATTTTTCAATCACTTTAAATATTTTTATTGTTTTCAGGCACTTTGTGTTGTACTTTCTCTCTCCTTATTTACTCCTGATGAAATTCTAAGGAGGACCTTTATTTTACTTTTCTTTCTATTCTGTCTCTGATATATTTGTTTATTGCTTCTCTATTTCTGTACTCTGAATCCCTGTATACCTCTATTGTTCCTCTCTATAGGGCTATCTGCTTTTTACCTTTTTAAGTTTCTGCTTTCTGTTCTGTCAAAGTCTTTTCTTTTTCTTCCTCTTAACTGCTTGTGTGTTCCTGGCTGGGCTTATTGATTCTTCTCCTCTTCTGAATCTTGGCTCCATCTGAGGGAAACAGCTTCAAGAACTTCCCTCAGAACAGTCTGAGGGGAGGAAATAAACACCTCCCTCTCCCCAGTTTTCTCAGTTGCTGCCTCCTTTCCGGCTGCCTCTCCTCAACAAGGCTGTCTATCTTTCAGTTTGCCTCTCTGCTTTGAATCCTGGGCTTTTGCTCTGTTTATTCAGCCTCTTCTTATTCAGGCCCTGGCTGCACAACTCCCTGCCCACCATCTTGTCTTTATTCCTCCTCCCTGCTGCCTCCTTGATGCTGCTGTTTGATTGGCAGTTTCAGTTGATTGGCAGCTGGGTTGTCCTGACGATGAGGGTGGGCCAAGAAGGGAGGGGAGGAAGGAGCACAGGTCTTTGATCTGCTCAGACAATCTGTCCTTCTACACTGCTGTTTTAGTGTTAAGCCAATTCAAGGGCCAAATATATCTTATTTCCTTAGTTTATTTACAGAAACCAGCAAGAATTTTGAATAATCTGTTTTTGAACATTTCTCATCCAAATTTAGTAGTCCAATCTTGGGACCTGGGGGCATTTTGGGGCAACAAAAATGAGCGGGGGTGGGGGTGATATATATATAATCTGCAGGTTTTGCAGTCTGCCACTGGTTTATGCCATCAAAATACTTTAGGATGAGTTCTGTGTACTTGCAGTCAAACAAATGTAAATTATTGTTTCAATTTTCATCGTGAAAATCACCAGGAATGGAATGGGAAATTGTTTTGTAATGTCACATTTGAACAAATCAAATATACTGCAAATATCCCAAGTAAAACATAACTAAAATTTTGGGTTTAATCCAAGTATGGCTTCTCATGTCTTAATTCCTTAAACCATCTGACTGTTATCATTTCTTTCTTAAGAAGTCATTACAAATATAAGCCGTACAAAATATTTTGGTCTCTCTCATTCTCTCTCTCTGGATGGGCAGGTAGCTATTTTATGACTGAGAGAGAGTGAGAGGAAGGAAGGAAGGAAGGAAGGAAGGAAGGAAGGAAGGAAGGAAGGAGAGGGGGACAGAGGAAAGAAGGAAGAAGGAAGGAAGGAAGAAGGAAGAAGGAAGGAATCAGAGCCAATGTTCTGTAGCGCGTTGTGGGGGAAATGCCCACTATAAATGAGGGACCAAAGCAACTGGATATAGATGCAACAAAGTCTATTTTTATTGGCATGCACAAACTACAGTGATCCCTGGGCTCCTTGCTCCTTGCTAAAGAACTGCAGAAGAGCCTCAAACAAAGCAAGGTTACAAGTTATATACTTTTGTTTTATTACACCATGTAAAAAAGACAAAGAAACTGTCTCACAGCGTGACTCTTTCAACAGAATGTCCTTGATAAGGAATTGGAGGGGTGACCTTGCTATACTACCCCTGCATTCTTTCCGACGATAAGGATTCTGTCCTGTTAGATACCATCAATGTGTTCACTAAACAGTAGCCTTTATTGTATCAGCACACTTCCCCCTTTCACACCATTCCATTTACATTCTAAGAAAGGGCAGTTGTCTACTACCAGTATCTGCCTCCACTCCAGGGTCACAGTGCTATTTTTATTTCAATGTGTATTTTTACTGCAGTGCTGCTTTAAATCATGTATGGTCTATGCCTAAAATAATAAAGATAATAATAATTGAAGAATGAAATGATTTAAGCCTCCACAAGTTGTTAAAGTGCTAAACTGAGTGGGGGGAGACCCAGACTGTGTTTCTTAATCCTAGAGTAGGAAGATGAAAAACATCAGTCTACTAACCTACAAGGGACCAGGGTCCCCAAGAAGGGAAAGCAAAAAGACTTTTTTGTAAGTGCGTATGTATGTATGTATGCATGTTTGTGTGTTGTGTGTATGTGTGCAGACATCATCTCCTTGATTTCCCTTCCTGTATATTCTAACTCCATGTATCTTTTGTTATAGTTACCAACCAATGGTTTCTGAAAGTGCTCTCTGTGGTAAACATGTTTTCTTCTGAAATAAATTTGGAGTATGTAATTTTTCTCCCCTGTAATTATTTCTCCCTGTGGGATTCTAGCAGCTGGAAGTAAAAGTACAAAATCTAAACGATAGTTTTAATATCCCCTGTAGACTCATAGGATTTGGTTTGTTATTTTAAATTCTTAACTTTATATTCTTCTAGTTTTCTTCAGTTACAATGGAGTGGCACTCACACTGGGGAAATAATGATTAAAAAAAACAACTTTCCAATGAGATACGACAAACATGTTTTCTACTAAAATATAATTTTTGAGTATATGATTGCAGGGTTTGTGAAATTGCAGCGGTTGGTAGCACACTAAAAAATATTAGTATTTCCCCTGCCATAGAGAGAAACAGCCAGATCTTTATAAGTTTCCTTTGCTGGTATTTTGTGCTCTATGCTGCTAAAGTCAGGCTGTGCAAGTTAGACTCAAATGGCAATGTAGAATGATGTAAATGGATGTCTTCAATGCAGAGTTGCTTGCCCAAAATGGAAGTAACTGTAGCAATTGTATTATTATTGCTACCTGAGAAAGTGTGTGGGATTACTAAATGCTGTATCAGGGATCCTCCTCCTATTTTTCACAAGTACTTAAAGTTTGGGGAACTAATCTTTGCTGCTGTTACTAATCAAATTCACCTACTTTCAGAACCCTTAACTTTTGAAAAATATCCTTCTTATGAACAATCAGACTTCGTGTAAGACATTATGCTTTCTGTTTAACCAAATCAGTCACTGGCATATATTCTGATTCTAGCAACTGTAGATTTGCCCATCCATTTTCATGAATTTTCAGATGAATGCCAGTCCATGAATGAGAACCTTTGGCTCCCAAACTTCTTGGGAACAGATGGTATTTGGGTCAGTCAGGTTTAGGACGTGCTGAGATGTGTTCTGCTTTGATCACTGGGATTCCTTCCCCCATAAATGTTCCCTTGGATTTTAGTGTTTTATAGATACATATATCTAAAAATCTAAACAAGCTAGCATGTTATGTGCTTGTCTTACACCTGCCATGATACGCTCCATAGCAATGGTGAAGGCCATATTATATCTTCTTTTAACTGTAAAATCTCAAGAGAGAAGACATAATGGGCATCACCTTTGGAGGAAGATGCAAACTGATGCATCTTATATACTTCTTATTGAAGGTTCCTGACTCATAACTACCAGCACATTCTGGCTCTGATGTTTGCTGTAAAAGAAATCAATGAAAATTCCCAGCTCTTGCCCAATGTCTCCCTGGGTTTCCATATCTATAATGATTATTTTATTGCAAGCTGGACTTATCATGCAGCAATGCAACTGCTGTCTACAAAGGACCAGTTCATCCCTAATTACAAGTGTGATGATCAGAGCAAAGTAATGGCTATCATTGGCGGCCCCAATTCTAATCTATGTCTTGATCTGGCAACTATCCTGAACAACTACAAAATACCACAGGTAAGACGTAAGCATGAAATAAGGGACTTTTAGAAGCCATCCACTATTTAAAAAGATGTGGTTTGGGAATAGAAAGTGATATAACAGAAAGGAATATAATAGGGATTCAATTCTGCTTGAAAGTAAGGATATCCATATGTTAGACATTCAGTTTTCTCAGCAACGATATAGAACTAGATACACTGTAGATATAGATGATATAGATAGTATAAATACAGATACAGATATAGATATGTGACTTTCCAATACCTCCTTTCTTATTACTGTGATATTCTTTCCACTTCTATAATTTTACAATATAATATTGTTTGTGGGGCTTGCTAATCTATCTTCTTTCTCCCCTCTCTCCCATTTGATTGTGTCTGTGTGTTTATCCGTGTCTTCCTTAAGCGTGAAAATCATTTACAGATCTGTCTTGGGAGAACTTTATCGTCATCTTTCTCATAATGTATTTGTTTTTATAATGGGGCTTGTATCACCACTATTTATGGATGGATATACCTTTTCCATTTTGACTTTTCAAGATTTAAAATATGTATGAATTGTGCATACTTTCAGTTTTATTTCAGCATGATTGAATGGTCAGTCTATTGAATAATTGACTTGCTTGTTCGTTGTTTCCAACATTCATTCATTTATAATATTCATAGACCACCCCAATCAGCTGAAACTCTGGGTGGTTCATAGCAAGGAAAAAGCACTATAATACAGTAAACCTGTTAAAACATGAGTACTAATACAATCCACATAGTTAAGTCAATTGGTGAACCACAATCCCACTACAATTCAAAATCTTATTGAGATAAAATGATTTTCAGTCTTTCTGGAAAGCAAGCAGCATACATCTGGAGGCAGCATGATTTCTAGTGTGGAGGATGCTATAAAGAAAGCCTGACTGGTGAGGGAAATCTGCATACTGTGCAGTTTTCCTAAATGAAACATTTTTCCCAAGTATTTTCCCCCTAAGGTAAATTCTTATGGTTGGATTTTTCTGTGACATTTACAGAAAATACTCTGCTCTTCCTTTCCTGGCCAGATGTATTCTATATTTCTGCTATTTATATCTGTTTTTCTATCTGTACAGTTGGGAAGCTCCTGCTGGTATCAAGAATTTTCAGTTGTGTATGTTACTATCAACTGGTATAAAGATTTAACTATATACTATTTTAAAGAAGTATCTCAACATTATACATTTTATTCTACTATTTTTAGTCCAAAAATAACCAAATATTTTCCCTTCCAGTACATTAAAAGCATACATTAAAAGAGGAATTTTAATTGCTGTTTTCCTTAAATTAATAAATAGATTTGATGCAGCAGAAATGGAATGATGCCAAGGTAATTCATCCAGAATACCATATAGGAAATGCACTCTTACACAACGTAAAAGACATTCTGCTAGAGAAAATTCTCTTTCTGTCTCCTTTCATTATTTTAGATATCATATGGTTCTGCTGCATCAACAAACAAAAAAAGTAAAAGAGGTTTTTTCTACTGGTGGTTTCCAAGTGATAGCCTTCAATACAGGGGAATCCTCCAGTTATTTTTATATTTTGGATGGACCTGGATTGGGATGATTTCTGTGAATTACGATGATGGAGATTGGTTTTTACAGAATGTGGTTCCAGTGTTTGGCCAGAAAGGGATCTGCTTTGACTTCATTGAAAGTTTTCCCAAAACATCATATAACATTGACATTTTAGAACTGTTGTCAGAGGGGAATGAGTTATATGAAGTTATTATGGGGAGCACAGCCAATGCTGTGGTTGTACAAAGTGAGATTCTGTTAAATCTGAGAGTGCTGCTCTGCCTACCTCAATCTGAGGAGCTGCCTAATAAAACAAAAGGCAAAGTCTGGATTATGATAGCTCAGATGGAATTCACAGCAATCGCCTTTCAAAGAAATTGGTCCATAAGTTTTCTTCATGGTGCTATGTCTGTTGCGATTCACTCAGAAGAGCTTGTAGGATTCCAAGAATTCATTCAGAAAAGCAACCCGAGTTCTGAGAAAGGAAATGGTTTTATCAAGGAATTTTGGAAAGATGTGTTTCTATGTGTGTTTCCCAGCTTCATGGGACATGAGAACACTGAGGAAGAGTGTACTGGGGAGGAGAGGCTGGAGACACTTCCCTCGTCGGTATTTGACATGACAATGACTGGCCGTAGCTATAGTATCTACAATGCAGTCTATGCCGTGGCTTATGCTTTACATGCCATGTGTTCCTTACAAAGGAAACGCAGAGTAACGGTGGCTAGCAGGAGTTTGAAACTTCATAACCTACAGCCATGGCAGGTAATGTCATCACATCCATGAAGAATAGTTTGGTATTTATTTATGTTAGCCCTAACAAAGATTGTCAATTCTTTTACTAGGAAAACATTTTCATTTTATTATATATTTTTTTCATCAGTTTGTTCTCGAAGGGCCTCAAGAATACAGGATCCTTCTTAGTTAAGGCTGTTAAGTTGAAAGGTGGCACAGAAATGTTCTACCAAGGAGGATCCCTAAATGTCCTTTGGCCTACTCTAAACCAAGTATCCCCAGTTTCCTAGCACCAGAAACAGAGAAACCAAAGGATAACCTATATCTGGGTCTTACATTCAGTGTGATTAAGTGGATAAGTTGTCAGACTAGGATCAGAATGATTAAAGTTGAAAATAGATCTCCCTTCCTTTTCCAATTTAGCTGCATTGGTTCCTGAGAAGCATCTCATTCAACAATAATGTTGGAGATCTAATGTCCTTTGATGAGAATGGACAGCTGATGGCAGGATTTGATGTTATGAGCTGGGTCACGTACCCAAACCAGTCCTTTCGCAGAATCAAGGTTGGAAAGATAAATCCAAATGCTCCAGAAGAAAAAATTCTCACCATTGAGGAGGATACCATTGTTTGGCCAAGTAGGTTTAATCAGGTACAGTTTGTATCTACCTGATGATTCCATTGATTGTTTTTTATAAATGCAAACAACCATCCATAAAATTTGCAATAATTGTCTGGTTTTCTTTGGGCAACTTTCATTTGCATTTATTCCTCTTCTCTTCATGTTCCTCATGTGGATGCATTCCTACGTTTCATAACTGTACAATAAGAACAAATGTCAATATGTTCTTCTTCAAAGTCAAAACCAAATAAAACATGAAGCAGTAATTTGTACTATCATCGCTTTTAACTACATACAGAGACACACTTGTAGGTTAGGGGTGTTGGGGGACTTGTTTTTTTTTTTTTTTCCTGGAGGGACCAGAATGTTTGAAGGCAAAGTGTCCATGCTGCCATTTTTAGGCAAACTGAGGACTGAATGAGAAAGTGTCTTCATTAAGCCAAAGTTCAGGAAATGGAAAAACCAGCGGACTATAATACTAAATAATTTGTTGGGGGTGGGGGGGTTGCCTTTGAGTCAGTTTTGACTCTGGGCAACTGCCTGGACAAGTCCCTGCAGTTTTCTTGGCAAGATTTTGGGAGTGGCTTGCCACTGCCTTCTTTCTAGGGTTGAAAGAGAGTGACTGGCCCAAGGTCACCTTCGTGCCTAAGGCAGGACTAGAATTCACGGTCTCTCAGTTTCTAGCCTGATGCCTTAACCACTACACCAAACTGGCTCTCAGATTAAAATTAATCTCCATATATATTTTCAGCAAGTATGTGGGGGTTATTCAAGCCCTCAACATGAATGGTCTCACTGGCCATTTTACCCAGGATTCATTCCATGAGAATCTCTCAGTAGAGCATAAACCCACAAAAAATACATTTGTCCTCTCCAACCATCTGAGCACCCAGTAGTTTCCTTCATGAAAGTCTCTGAATGGTGGATGGAATTTACAAATGTTTGATGCATCCCTTATATCCAATTAAAAGCATGAAAGGGATGGATAGGAATGGAGAAGGAGCAAGGCCAGATTTCTTCCTCTCTCTGTCTCCTGAGATATTTACTGCAAAGAAGTTGAGGAGCAAAACTTCCAAAAGAAATTCCATATTTATCCATTTCAAATATTTAAAACTTCACTTTTTCCATTGTTGCACAGGGACATCCTATTTCGATGTGCAATCATCATTGTCCTTTAGGATATAGGAAGACTAAGAAAGAAGGGAAACCATTTTGCTGTTATGATTGCCTTCCATGTCCAGAAGGGAAGATTTCAAAACAGGAGGGTAAGATGTCCCAACAATGGAGGGCTTCGTATATATATATGATTTAATAAATGGAGGAATATTTCCAAACTATTTTAAAAGGCATTTTGCAGTGGCAGAAATACTGCTAGTTGAGGCTTAGAAAGTGACTCTCTTTGATAAATACTTTTCTGACAGTTCTTGATAGAGAATCTTTTCTGTTTTTTTGATGATGCAATATAAGAAGTACAGCACCCTGCTTTTGGTCATTTAGGAAGTTAATAAAGACAGACCCTTTTCACTGGCTGTTTGAATTCATAAACTATGGTTTATAACGGTTGATGAAGAATTTGCCGAGTGAGTGCTTAAATTTAATTACTTACTTAATTTTATTTAGCCTATCTGACACTCCAGTCACTAACTCTGAGTAGTTCGTATATACAATGTCTGTAAATCAGACTAAAAACTGCAAAAATGGCCAAACAAAAATTCAAAGAGCATCTACTTATATGAACATCAGGAGAAGCAAATGCAATAAAGGGTGAAACATCAAAATGTTTTTAATCATTTTCAGCTTTTGTTTTAACAGAACCATGGTAAATAGCCAGGAATCTTTTGGGGATGTAGTGGTCTAAAAATATTACAGACATACAGTCATGCATCTCTCTTCCTTTCTTTATTCCAGATTCAGATGACTGTTTCCAATGCCCAGGTGATCAGTATGCAAATGTAGACCATGATTTTTGCATTCCCAAAGACACAACCTTTCTATCTTATGAAGAACCTTTAGGAATCACTTCTGCCATTTTTGCATTCTGTTTTTCTTTCATCACAGCAGTGGTGCTTGCAGTCTTCATTAGATACCATGATACTCCCATGGTCAAAGCCAATAATCGAAATCTCACCTATACTCTCCTCACTTCACTTCTGCTCTCCTTCCTCTGTGCTTTGCTTTTCATTGGCCGCCCTCTAACAATCACATGCCTACTTCGACAAGTTGCTTTTGGTGTCATCTTCTCAATCGCTGTTTCTTGTGTGTTGGCCAAAACCATCATTGTGGTTCTAGCTTTTATGGCCACCAAACCTGGATCTAGGATGAGGAAATGGGTAGGGAAGCCACTGGCTAATTCCATTGTTCTTTCATGCTGTCTTATTCAAGCCATGATTTGTATTGTGTGGCTGGGAACCTCTCCCCCATTCCCTGATGTTGATCTACACTCAGTGACTAAAGAAATTGTTCTTGAATGCAATGAAGGGTCAACCATCATGTTTTATTCTGTCTTGTGCTTCATAGGATTTCTTGCTTTGGTCAGCTTCATGGTGGCTTTCCTAGCCAGGAACTTGCCTGACAGCTTCAATGAAGCCAAATTTATCACTTTCAGCATGCTGGTGTTTTGCAGTGTTTGGCTGTCCTTTTTCCCAGCCTACTTGAGCACCAAAGGGAAATACATGGTGGCTGTGGAAATCTTTTCTATCTTAAGTTCTAGTGCGGGGTTACTGTTTTGTATCTTTTCTCCCAAATTTTATATCATTATTTTAAACCCTGAATTGAACAAAAGAGACCAATTAATGCGGAGAAAGTATTAAGAATTCTGCTGGTTAGTTGTTCCTAGTGAAGTACAGTAAGCTGTGACTTGCAATTGAAATAATCTGCCTATTTACTTGTGGGCAAACTACACAGAAGACAGTTGAAATAAATACCTGTGCATATTAACCAGGTTGGTTGTTCCAGTGTATAAATATATGCCAAGTTTTTGTTTTTACTGGCTCAAGAACTGCAATCTTTTACATATTTAGCTGCAAGTAAGCCACAAAGAATATAGCTGAACTTCCTCTTAGGAAACCATTAATATATTCCATTGGAAGTATCTTTCCCCACCTTCCCCATGGGAATCTTTTCATTGTATCAGGTCTGTTCTATCATCTTTGTTTTGTTTTTAGATTATGAATATACTGGAAACAATAACTCTCTTCAGATATTTTATGGGATGCATATAGGGTAAAAATTAACACCAGTGTCCTTCCACCAATGCCCCTTTTCTGCTCAAACCATGCCTCTTATTTTATATACCTTCCATGGTAAACCATGGTAATCACTTTAATTTTAACAAAACTTTAAGAATGATTGTGAGTTTGATAATGTTTCTGTAGTACTAACATTGCCCTCTCCCACATACACACATTTCCTTCTATTTTTGTTGTTGTTTTCTTTTCTATACTTATCCAGGCTTAAAAGGAGTTAGGCATTTACAGATAGGGCAGGAACCAATGGTCTTTTGCACTAGATATAATCCTTCTTTGTACCTTTGTATAAATTAATATCAAGTGTGTAATATTTTTTTTTCTGTCTTATGAAATTATTTTTGTTTTTGATGCTATTGTTTTTATTCCAATGGATCAACATGGCTCGTAAAAGTTCTTATGTGCTTTTTTAAAAATATTCATTTTACTAGCCTTATGTTGGAAAGTTATGAATTTAATTCCCCAAAACCTTCTCCCCACCATTCCCCCTTGAGAAATAAAATAATGTCTTGCCTAACTGTTCTTTTCTCATACATCATATTTAGACAATCATGGTTGTTTGGGTCTGTTTCTATGTGAGTAAATGGGTATTGATGAGAAAAGAGGACAATGGGGGACAAGTAATATCATGAATATCAGAACATCATCACTCAAATGACAATTATGACATACTGTACAAGATTTGTGCAATGATACAATCATGCACATGATGCCATCATGGTTTGCACCAGGTGTGTGTGTCTGCATGCATTTCAGTTTTAGGTTTCATATGTGGTTATTTGGAAGGAAGATTAATTGAATTTACCAAGGCTCATGATTGAGTAGCAATATATAATTGCACTTCAAAAGATTATACTTCTTTGTAAGAAGATCATAATGGAAAGAGCCCCTAGACATTTGAATTTGCACACCAAGATCAGTCATGCTTCTCTGATACAGAGTTAACTGATTATATGACATCGAGTCAATATCAGCTCTTAAGACTATATAGATAGATCTGTCCCCAGCCTGGTCCTTCAGGTCTTCTGTCGTGATACAGGGTAGCCAGGATATATCTTGAAATATTTGGAAAATTATTACAATTTGTTTTGAGCATTTCCCCTCACTACCATCTCCACAACAACCCAGTGAGAAAGATTAAGCCAGAGGCAGATCACTCTTTCAAATCAAGGGGCATAGGAGGATGTGGAAAATAAGACATTAGGAGAATATTGCTAGATTCTTGTAATTTGTCATCAGATTATGTTAGTGTGATCAGGAGGACTCTGAGGAACACATAGGGAAACTGATAGTAATAAGTTACTAAGCCATGGTTTAGTCTGAAAGCAAGCAATTGGCTTCTGAATCAGCCTCGTAACTAGGCTGGAATCTGAAGTTGGACATTCCTAGTCTTATACTGACATAATGATCACCATGAAATATATGGTGGCTGTGGAGATCTTCTCTTTTAGGTTCTACCAAATAGAGGGAATCTTCTCTGTTTTAGGATTACTACTCAAGTGGACGTTATATGTAGCTCAGGGTATTGTTGCGTTCTAGGTGTTTGCGGACTGTTTTTATGCAGTGGCTGTTTCTATCAGCCTTGATTGGGGTATTGTTTCTTCCTTGATTGTTCTTGTGTATCTGGTGTTGGTTCCTACTTATCTGGGTATTGGATGATTGTTGTGGGATGAAGAAGGGTATGTTAGGCCACCTGTAAACAGCCAGAAAATTCTACTTCCCCAAGCCCTGACAATGGTAATTACCTACCCTGGTGTTGCAACATCTTCAGATAGAAAAGCAAGCTCAGAGAACACCAAGTACTATTTTGCATATTTTCCCATAAATATTGCATCGTTATTTTAAAGCCTGAAGTGAACAAAACAAAACAGCTGACAAGGAGAAAGTATCAGTTAGTTTGAATCGGTAGATCAGCCACATCTTCTTCCAGCCTTGTATAAATGAAGAGGCAGCTGTAAATAGCCTTCAAAGTATCCCTGGAAAAAGGTGTGCTTGCACCTACAACTGAAAATGAGATGCTGTCTATATGTTCCTGTGTCTATCAGAGCACTTCTTTCTAAGGATACACACTATAGCTCCAGTTCAGCTATAATTCACTGTGACTATGAATTGTGATCTTCTGAATACTGTGATAAGCCACTGTCCCATACTGAGTGCAGTATTTCTGGATCCTGATTTTAAAATGGTGTTATTGTGTGTTGTTTTGTTTTGTGTCATTTCATTTCATTTCATTTCTTTATTTATTTGAAATATTTGCATGGCCACCCATCTTAAGAACACAACTCTGGATGGCTCACAATAATAAAGCAAGAAACCAATAAAAACTATAAAACCAAAACCAAAAACCTGATGCCTCAGCAATCCTCCTTGGATGCATTGAAAAGTTCCATCCACAGGCTCCTACCTCACCCTATCCCAGCACCTGGGGAAAAAGACAGCTCTTTATGGCCTTCTGGAAGGCTAAAAAGGTGGGGGTCTGTCAGATCTCCAGGGTGTTTCACAGGGAGGCGGCTGCCATGGAAAAGGCAGACTTCCTAGTCCCACTAGAATGCAATATGTAAAGGAATGGACCTGGAATGTGCCCACTGTATCTGACCTGGTCAGACAGGCAGATACCTTCAGGGAGAAATAACTGGCTCCATGCCATATAGGGCTTTAAAGGTGATAAGCAACACCTTGAAGTGTACACAGAAAGAAACTGAGGCTCAGTGCAGCTTGTGCAACAGTGGCATGACACAGGAAACCAAGGAGTGCCCAACACTGCACATGCCATTGTGTTCTGAACCAGTTGTAACTTCTGGATGGTCTTCAAGGGCAGCCTCATGTAAAGTGTGTTGCAGTAGTCCAACTGAGAAGTGATCAAGAAGTATTTTTTTGTTTGTTTGTTTTTGAACACCTTCTTGCCAGCAATCAGCACCAGGATTAACACCAGACAAACAATCTAGCAGTAAACAATACCCTAATTAAGAAACTACCAAGGAAAAAACAACTCCCCCACCAACACTGACAGGCCAAGCTACTGTATATAAACAGAGAGCAAACCCCACTCCAGCACTGAAGATGTAATCAAGCCAGGTAATGAAATGTCTGCAAGAAAACCAAGCTCAGAGAATCCCAAGGACTCCACATTTATCATATTTTCTAATATTGCTCATAGATGTAGAACCTGCATAGGAACTCAAATTAATAGTCAGATAGCATTGTATTACATATATATAGAATCTATACTTGAAAGAAAAAAAGAGAAATGTGATTAAGTCCAAATAAATAAAACAACAAGCAAGTAGCATTGTTATAAAAACTGGAAAAAAACCTTAAAAATAAACAGAAGAATAAAGAAATAGAAAGAAATGCATGACTTCTTAGGGGGATACCACAGTAGCTCATCTCTCTTATAAGTAAATGTACAGAACAGCTTCAAACTATTCATTTAAACTAACATGGAAAATATAGAGATAAAGACTTATGTTGGCAATATGCCCAGGCTTATTATCATGAAGTTGACAAGAATGCAGGGGGAAAAAAAGTGAAAATTGAAGTCTTATAAAATGAGGCTCGCCTCAGACTTCTCCTTTAGCCATTAATATGAAGTGAGTCTTTTAAAATGAGGCTCGCCTCAGACTTCTCCTTTAGTCATTAATATGAAGTGAGACAGAATCAGGCTTTTCCACCAGCAGATTTCAACAATAGGGTAAAGGCCTCTGCATTTGAGGAACTGTCAAATTTATGCACTTTATGGCTGGTGTGGGTCTTCCGGGCTGTGTGGCCGTGTTCTGGAAGTTTTGTTTCCT